TTTTTTTAGTCCATCTCCACTAATTAGTTTGATCTTTCGTTGCATGGGCAAAGCTGAAGAACGAAAGCCATGCACACTTAGGATAACATGAGGGTGAGTAAATAATCACACCACTTTCATTTTGGGGTGAACTGTGTCCCTTTAAAGTCAAATTAGGGTCCAACTGTTTCATTCAACCAGTAAGACATTTGGTTAAATTGCTAATGAGTTTATTTTAGAAAGACACAGGTAACATCATATCACAAGAGGTATTGAATGACATGAGGGCGTCTTCTGTATAGTATCCAAAACTAAAAAAAATCTAGTTTCTAGTACAAATATTGATGTTTTATACAAAACTAGTTATTGAACAGAGCCCTGGTGCCTCCAGGGCCACTGCTATGTAATAATGCATCCACCCTTCTCCTTGAAAGGGTTCTTGTCTTCTGGGACACCTTTGACCAGCGGGTCTTCAGCAGACAACCCCTCAACAAACGCGATGATCTCTGGGGCCGTTGTTGAGACCTGAGAAGAAGAGTCAGGAAAGACGCTTTAAGTTTCATTGCTCAGAATGGGAATCAAATACGTAAGCAATCAGAGGATGCAGCCAAAAACTCTGTAATCTTTTAATCACACTCACGTCATTCCAAAACACAAAAGAAGATGTTTTAAAGAATGTTAGTAACCAAAGAGTTTCAGTTCTCTTTGACTTCGGTCATATGGGCAACAATTACAATGGAAGTCAATGGGAACCAAAACGGTTTGGTTTTAAACTGTTCTTTAGCGTAATGCTCCCAGAAGACAGAAAGTCGTACAGGTTTGGAACGACATGAGGGTGAGTTAATGATGACTGAAAGATTATTTTTGTCACCGCAATTCGAGGAGTGTTCACTTCCAGCTTCAGCTGATCCAGCTCCATCTTTAGGATGTCTTTATCCGACATGTCCCGAGCCATCCTGTCTGTCCAGAGGACATCAATGAAAGAGGAGAGATGTGAAATTAAGCTCAATATTCAATCTGAAAATGTCTCATGAACAATGCTTGTGCACTGTACACAGTGGTAATCTAACAACATATTCATCCCATAACATTTTTAATGATTTAATCCATGAAAAACAGATTAACTAGATTACATAAAGATAAGAAATTAGATTTTTTTTTTTAATGAATTAATGTATTTAGGTTGATTCAGTGATGTTATATTATATTTCTGATTTGAATAAAATCCCAGTTTATTTAGATGCTATTTTTAGGCAACCATTTTTGTCAGTGTACTGTTAAAAGCACTTAATGTAAAAAAAAAAAAAAA